GACACAAACAGCTTTTCTGGGATTATTTAAAACATTAGATAGATTATATAAACTGTAAAATGTTAATAATAATTGGGTTGATATTATTATTATTTTTTATGATTTCTACATCGTCAGTCCTTTTTTTCCTGCTCTGTTGTCAACATGTAGAGTAATGGGAAATCCAGACTCTTGACCGTTTTGCGTTAGCCGTTAGCTTCACCAGCCGATTACACAGTCACGTGGTTTCTGCGCACTCCAGCTGTTCTATATAAACTCCTTGGTGGAAAGAGCTCAGCTGTGGACTGAGCTTTGTGTAAATAGGCTCCACTTTGTACCAGCAAGTGTTTAAGACCTCCTCATCCTCCCTCCAAACTGCAGAAATCAGCATCTTTTTATACTTTTTTCCAAAGCATGTTTTCATAAAAAATAAAATAAAAAGTATCTCTAATCTGTGCATTTTAGCATTACTCAGTGGTTGTCAAGTGAATAATTGAATGAAACATCAAGTCATAAGCTAAGTCCAGTTGTTCATTCCGGGTGTCTTATAAAAAGGTTTCTTTTCCCCTGATCTCTTGGGTTCATGCAGTTGTTAACATTCTTGAATGAATCTGTGTCATTCCAGAAATAGACAAAGAGAGTTGTGGTGACCCTGGGACACCTCTCTACGGAATAAGAGAAGGTGACAACTTCTCCAATGGGGGAATCCTGAGGTTCGAGTGCCAGTTTGGTTTTGAGCTGATTGGAGAAAAAACTATCTCCTGYCAAGACAATAACCAGTGGTCCGCAAACATCCCTATATGCATTTGTAAGTATTCTAATGACTGTATGTGTGATTTTTAGAAACATGTCAGAGCAAACCCGTGACATCTGCACTGCTATGTTGTTGGTAATACTCACTCTGACCTGTCACCATGGCAGTAGTGCAGAGTTTATCATGGCCTGGGGCAGATGATGACCGATGACGCTGTGAAGATGAACATTTAACAGAAAATGTCTCTCTCTGTACCTTCCCTCCCACAGTCCCCTGCATGTCCAACTTCACAGCTCCCTCAGGAACCGTTCTCTCTCCAGATTACCCAGAAGGCTATGGGAACAACATGAATTGTGTCTGGCTCATCCAATCGGATCCCGGCTCAAGAATACACTTGGCATTTAATGATTTCGACCTTGAGGCGCCTTACGATGCTCTAACTGTGAAAGACGGCGAGACGAATGATGCTTCGGTCATCGGGAGGTTCTCTGGAGCTGAGAGTCCRTCCCATTTGACGTCGAACACCAACACGCTGAGGCTGGAGTTTCAGGCTGATCACTCCATGTCTGGAAGAGGATTTAACATCACATACAGCAGTGTGTATCTTTGCTATTTATTGTCTTATGCTGCCTTTTTTTGCTTATGGAAACTCCGATAACACTCTTGCAGGAAACAAATAAAGTAATTTTAGTCATTTTAGGAGAGCTTTAGACATTAAAAAAATAGTATAGGTCTTCTGGACAGGTTCTTCTCTAATGAAACGTTTCGTCTCTCCTCCAAGAGACGTCTTCAGTCTGAGAGTTTCAGGCAAAATATGAGGCAAAAGAATGGGCAAAAAATGGGCAAAAAATGGGCAAAAAATG